ACTTTTTGTTGTTCCTTCCTCTTCTTATATGTTTTGCTTCTTCCAGGAGGCCCCAGTTTCTTTCTTTGTTGGTTACAATTCTTCTGAAGTTTGCTGGCTAGATGACCCTTCACCCTGCCGTGTGCTAGTCAGTTGCTGACAGGGACAGTGTATACTGGCCCCTCCTCTCCGGATCACTCAAGCTGGTGTGGCCTGCACTGTATTACAGTGCACCTCCTCCCTCCCAGATCAGTCAAGCTGTTGTGGCCTGCACTGTATTACTTTGTGCCGCCTCCCCTCCTGGTCAGCCAAACTTCTGAGGCTTCACTGGGTTAGTGTGGTTAGTGTGCACCACCACTGGAAGAACTTGATTTTGCATAACCTATTGGGTCTCAGCAAGGTCATGTGACCCAGGCCTAACTCACTCCAATCCCATTCAGGAAGGGAACAAGTGACTGAAGTCACTGCTGCCACTTGTACTTGCCAGTCCTGCCCAATCCCAGAATGTCATCTGCCTTTTCTGTGACATGGCTCTACTCCCATCACTCATCACAGGTCGATGCAGGCACCCTGCCAACTCAGCTCTCCATTCAGCTCATTGACCCCCAAACTCGATGTAACTGTACCTCCAGTGAGTTGAAGTCACGGGACCTCGGATGGCTTAGCAAGTTGTGGCGGAATCTTGGCAAGTTGCAGTGGGACCTTGGATAGTTTATAAGTCACCCGCTGTGGCAGGAACACTGAACCTTTACCTGTTCCAATAATAGCACCAAGATTGTATGTTTGGTTGGTTTACTCACCTTAATTTCTTTGTGGGATGAGAGAATTCATCTCCCTGTTTGGGGCTTCCTGCTCTGTATTATGTTGAATTATAAGTTGACTATCTCAGGGAGCCTCTGTAGCCAGTTGTTATCTATCTGCCATCTTTGCTTTACCTGTGTGCCTTATATTTGTAACTTGAGTAACCATTTCTTTTTTTTAAATTTTATTTAAAGAAAGACTAAACAAAACACAAAATGGGTAGAAATAGCACATACATTCAGAGAAAAAATAAACAGTAAGAAATCACTAGTTAATGCTTACAAACTGTCATTTACAAGTAGTTATTCAAGAAACAAAAGTGGAACATATAAAGGGGAATTCAAACAGTGAGACAGCAGACAGCTCTGTTCAACTATTCAGCAAAAACTTATTAATGTGGTTGTCAACCCTATACACTTAAACATACATGCAGTTATCCATATATTCATTTATGTTGGGATTAAACAAACTAAAGCAAGCTAAAGTCGTTCTGAACAAAGAATAATAGTATTGCTGAATTTTACATCATGACACTCCATGATCAGCACTGGGTAATATAGTTTCTTTTTTAAAATTTTATTTAAAGAATGACTAAACAAAACAGCTAGAAATAATACATACTTTCAAAGAAAAAAGTTAATGGTAAGAAATCACTAGTTGATGATTACAGATTGTCCTCTTACAAAAAGTTATTCAAGATACAAAGTGGAGCATATAATGTGGGGATTCAAACAGTAAGACTGAAACCAGTTCTGTTCAACTATCCAACAAAATTTAGAAATATGATTATCAATCCTATACAATTAAACCTACATGCAGTTATCCATATCTTCAATTATGTTGATACTGAACAAACACATGCAGCCTAATATCACTCTGAACAAAGAATAATACTATTGCTGGGTTTCACATTATGACATGCCAGAATTAGCACTGGGTATTTTAGTTTCTCTTTTTCTTTAAAGTATCTGTTCATTTCATCATATGTCATAAGATCAGTTCTCATAAACTGTTCATAGATTCTACACATGCATGATTCTTAACATGTATTTCTATCCTTTCTATATTATAGGGAGAAACAAAACAAAGCAAGGCAAAACAAAACATATTCCTATAAACACATGAAATTAAAAAGACATATAAGACCATTGTACAAGGAGTTCTACCATAGTTCCTGTGTTGTCTCTTGTTATCTTCAATAGAGTTGGCTATATCATCAGACATAATATAATTGAATATATCAGTACACAAAATTTTAATAAAAGCAGAAATTTGTATATAGTATAAAACTTCAAAAGTAGGCAGTTATCAAACCAGAATATGTATCATAGAGTCTTGTCCTCTTAAGTGTAGTTGCCTATACTCTTAGACTTGATATTATCAATCATATCAGTTTTGAATAAAATCTGTTGATACCAAACTGCAGACAAACAAACCAGATTTAACTTAAATCAGTCATGATAAAATAGGATAAGTCATACAGGGCTCCAGATTAAGATAATAGGAAATTAAAGATGACTACTGTGCTATATCCTAATATTTTTGTTATAGCTCTCTGTGCCCTCAAATCTACCACAAGTAGACAACTGGGACACAATAAAATCTATCAAAAAACAGACTAAAAGCTATCTAAGCAGAGTGGTGTGAGTAATGTGGGTTTGAAATCCTGATACCCTATTAACAATATCTTCTGCCATCATTTTTAAGACTCTCCCTCCGCTTTCACTTCCCCACGGTACAATGTGCATTTTGGGGTCTGACCAAGACCCTCGGTTTTGAATTGGAGGAGGGGCAACCTGCTATTTACCTAAGTGGTTCCAAACCTTCTCTCTCCTAGATTTGATCTCTAATTGTATTCCTTTACCTATTAAAGTCTGTCTATCCAACCTACCCACAAATACTAGTCTCATTGCCCCTATTACTCTCTAGTTCTCTGTCACAGAGAGCATTGTTTTCTCACGTTTGATTTTCAGTCCATGTACTCTTTTTCATGTTAATTATATTACCTATAAATAGCATCTCAGTGTAGACCCTGCCTCCTGATCTACTCCACGTGTGGTTTTTTTTAAATTTAGTGTTTCAAAGCCTTCTATAATAGAGATTATAACCAACTTTCCCCGCCTCATTTTTGTTATGCTCTCTTTTTTGCCATCAGTTGTCTGCTTATCTTCTTCATTCTGTTTTCTGCTCCATTCATTGAGGCTTGTCTGCCACTGTTCCTGGAATCCTACTACTTTTCTCTCTCTCTAGAATGCCTTGCAGTATTCTCTGTGGAGTTGGATTGGGGGTTGTGAATTTCCCAAGTTACTTTTTGTCTTGGAAGCATCTTCTTTCTCCATTAATTTCTAGAGACAGTTAAGCAGGGTATATCAAATTTGGTTGGAGGTTATTTTCTTTCAGGGCTTGGAATACTTTGCTCCTGCTTCTTCTTGACTTGCTGGTTTATGTCGAGAAATCTGCCGTAATTCTGATGGGCCTTTATTTATAGGTGATCTGTTTCTTGTCTCTAACAGCTTTAATATTTTGTTCTTATATTGAATTTCTAGGCTCTTCATTATTATATGCCTGGGAGTAGCTCTGTTTTGGTGGTAGGTGGCTGGAGTTGTACATGCCTCATGCATCAGAATATCATTTCCTTTTCCTATGTTTGGGAAGTTTTCCTTAATTATTTCTGTGAATAACCTTTATAGTTCCTATGTTTGTACCCCTGGTTCTTCATTCACATTCTTTGTTCTCAAGTTGTATATCTTCTTGTCATCTTCTAGCCTTTGTATTGTTACTGCTTGTTTCCTTGTTATATTTAAAAAGTTTTTCCTTTCATAGTCTCACGTTGCAAAACTGTCCTCCAGTCTGGATAATCTATCCTTAGTTTCTTTCAAGCTGATTTGCCATATTTCCATAGAGTTTTAATTTCCTGGTAATCTCTTTGAATTTGCTTCATGTATTCTATATTTTCTTTATATTCTTCATCAAATGCTTCTCTCTTTTGTTTGAGTTCCTCCCTTCTGTCTGTGTCTGCTTGAGAGGTGCTTAGCATCTCTTTTATTAATCTTCTAATATTTTGCCTTACTTGGCTAAATATTTCACATTTGAACTCGTCTATGATGTCCCGAACATATCTCTTAATGTCCACTAGCTCTGTGTTTGATATTGCATGTTTGCTATTCTCCTTCATCTTTGTATTTACTTGTCCTGGGTCAATGTTTTCAGGGTTGGGACTTGGGGACTTTTCTTGTTCCTTCCTCTTCTCATCTTTTTTGTTTCTTCCAGTAGGTCCCAGTTTCTTTTTTGTTGGTTACAGTACTTCTGAGGCATGCTGGCTAGATGACCCTTCACACTGCCATGTGCTAGTGAGTTGCAGACAGGAGCAGCATATGCTGGCCCCTCCCCTCCAGCTCAGTCAAGCTGATGAGGCCTGCACTGTATTACTATGGGCCACCTCCCCTTCAGATCAGTCAAACTTCTGAGGCTTCACTGCATTATTGTGCACCACCACCATAAAGAATGGATTTTAGATAACCTATTGGGTCTTCACCAGGTCACATACCCAGGCCTAGCTCACTCCACCAATTGCCTTAGGAAAGGGAAAACTGACTGAAATCACTGCTGCCCCTTGTACTTGCCAGTCGTGCATGGTCCCAGAATGTCATCTGCCAGAGCCCCCCTTTCTGTGGAATGGCTCCCCTCCCATCACTCAACACAGGTTGATGCAGGCTCCCCACCAGCTTAGCTCTCCATTCGGCTGGCTGACTCCAGACCTCAGTGTGATGTGCCTCCAGTGAGTCAACATGGCAGATCTTGGGTGGCTCAGCAAGTTGCCCACTGCAGCAGGAGCACTGAACCTTTAGCTGTTCCAATAATAGCACTGGGACTCTCTGCTTGATTGGTTTTTCTTACCTTACTCTCTTCTTAGGATGAGAGAATTCATCTCCCTGTTTGGGCTCCCCACAATATATTATGTTGAATTCTAAGTTGACTGTCTCAGGGAGCCTCTGTAGCCAGCTGTTATCTATCCACCATCTTTGCTCCACCCCTATTGTGCAGTTTGAGGGTCTTCTAGCATCTTTCCTATACAGTCTGTAGCTTGTGGAAGTCATAGAAAACAGCCTGTCCAGCTAGGATCCTTTCCACCATGTTGAGTAACTATTTCTAAGATGACAATATGTAATTTATCAACTAGTAATTTCTTATTGTTTATTGTTTTGAAATTATGTGGGAAGATTGCTGCCCTTCCAGTGGGAGAACCAGCAGTGTCTCCTGAAATCCACACCATGTTGGAACACAGGACTCTGGAAAGCCAAGCAAGCACCTCCCTTCCCTGGTAAGCAGTGGCAGTGTGGCAGACTGCAGCCCTTCCAGGGGGAGAACCAGCAGTGTCTCCTGAGATCCATGCCATGTTGGAACTTAGGACTCTGGGAAGCCAAGCAAGCACCTCCCCTCCCTGGTAAGCGGAGGCAGTGTGGCAGACTGCAGCCCTTCCAGGAGGAGAACCAGCAGTGTCTCCTGAGATCCACGCCATGTTGAAACTTAGGACTTTGGTAATCCAAGCAAGCACCTCGCCTCCCTGGTAAGCGGAGGCAGTGTGGCAGACTGCAGCCCTTCCCAGGAGAGAACCAGCAGTGTCTCCTGAGATCCATGCCATTATTGAAACTGAGGATGCTGTGAAACCAATAACCATTCTGCCTCCCTGCTAAGCAATAGTGAACCTACTGCTACATGGCCTAGAGTCAAATATCCCACTTCCCCTATCCTCTTTCTCCTCTCCCTCTGCCCATTAGCAAATGGGAACCAGAAATCTGAGCATCTCCTGGGAGGTAGACAATAGCAAATAAGGGGAACTTCCTTCTAGCATTTCTTTGAAGGCAAATTTTTTATTACTGTTTTGCTGTTTTCTGATTAATGGTACTGCTCTATTCAGTATTCTGTTTTGATAGGTTCTATAGTGTTCTATCTTTCATCTCATTTTGATATATGTGATTGAAAGAACAACTATTGTAAAGATAACAAAATAAACTGTGATACCTATTACGATTATCCCAGTAACCTGCTGTGAAGTTCTGTACCAATTTCACTGTATGATCTTAGTTGGCTTTATTCTGACTTGTTCTGTTGTATACTTTCAAAATAAAATTTAAAAATAAAGAAATTATGTTTTTCTGGGTTTTTTATTTTCTTTAAATAAAATTTTTTTTAAAAAGAATACTTGGTCCTGTGTCTCATTACACCTCTCCCTGGGGGTCTAATTTCTAGCCACTTGTCTGAAGCTGGTTAAATTCTTTCATTCCATTGTCCTTCCCTTCCCTTCCCTTCCCTTCCCTTCCCTTCCCTTTCCTTTTCTTCCCTTCCTTTCCTTTCCTTTCCTTTCCCTTTCTCTTTCCTTTGCCTTCTCCTTCCTTTTCCCTCTCTTCCACTTCCTTTCCTTTTACTTCCTTTCATTTCAGCTCCATTCCTTTTACTTATTTTCCATTATTTTTGTCTTCTTTTCCTTTGCTCTCTTCTCAAGCCTTTGGAAATTTCTGTAAGTTTCTTTTGGGGCCCCAAATTCATCAAATGCATTTTTTAAGATAGCAACACTCTCATGCAGTGACTTGCAGCATCCAAACACAAAAATGATTTATCATCTTTCTGTAATCTCTTCTGACCTGCACAACTCTGCCCAAGTACAATGCAAGTAATGTTTGACAAATGTCTTGATGTGACTCCAGAGGATTTTGTGCAGAGTCGCAGGATCCACAAATGAGGTTTTCAGCTTATGTAATGAGGACTTCTTGGGTTGTCAGGCATAATCAGAGAAAACCATTAAGTTACTCAGTTTAACCTCCATTTTAAAACCTCATTTGAATGGAAAATTCTGCTCACAATATCTAAAGGCTGAGCAGAAGCTGGGATTGTAAAGAGAGCCAGGGTCCTCACAATGGTGGTGTTTATAACAGGAGTGTCATAAAGACTTTTCAAACTATAGTAAGCAAGACCTACTGGATCTGTTTATTTGTATTTGATCACTTGGAAGTGGATGGGCTGGCATTGGTATCAAGAATCTATAAGAAAAGGTGAAACCAGAAGTTCTGATGGAGCTACTAAAGAAATAAACTCAGTGTTTTTGATACTAGCCTGAGAGAATAGAAAAGAATTAACAGACAATTCTTCCATAAAAATATTGCATCAAGTGTAGCAAATTCACTTTCTCCTAGTTGCTAGAATTCATTCATTCTATATGGAGAAAGAAGCATACATGGTTTGGGCAGAGAACACAGAAACCATTAATCATCCATGTGGGTTTACTCCTGAACAACCAATGGAGTCCTATTCTCTATTTCAGTTTGAGGGTTTGGGTCCCATGTTACATTGAAAAACCCATTTATCTAGAAATTGGCCCTCAGAAAAAATAATTTTGCAGAGCATAACTGATGCTTTAGGATTGGAACTTCCCTGAGCAGGGGCCCATTCATATGATGCCATTGACCATATATACTTGAGGAAATCGAGTCCTGTATCTCTTTAAAGCTTGTGCTACAATGAAATGGCTACAAATAATGGCACCATTTGCCATTCCTTGAGGAAGTCCTGTCCATTGAAAAGGTCTCACTGGGTCTTAAAAATCAATGTTAGGTACTGAAAATGCAAATCAAGAGGTCTATCCTAAGGAGACAGGGGAATATTTTTAAAAGTCTTTCAGATCAATAATGTTAGCTAGTAACCCTAGGTAAACCAAGTCATAGTGCCCATATTAGCAGCATGCAGGCATTTACAGCTCTCAAGTCTTGATATCCATTTCCTGACTTTTTTCAAGTGACAAAAACTGGAGTATTTTATGGGCTAACAGAGGGTTTGAGGTATCTTAGCACTATTTGCTTTTTACTAATGTTGACAAGATTTGTAATGTTTCCTTTGTCAGGGGCCATTGAGAAACCTATTTTCACTCTGTCATTTTTTTATTGAATTGGTAGAGCTGAAGTAGGTGGAGAAGTGTTAATGGCACCTACTATAAATTTGAATTATATCTAATCTCAGATATATCTAGTTTTACCAAAGGCTCCATTGAAACAGTGTAGCCTTTTAGATTTTTATTGAGACTTTTATTTCTTTGACACTTCATTTTAGCTATGATTTTGTTGTCAAGTGACATACACTTTTGAGAAATAAAAGTAATTAAAACAATATTTTACTCTTTTATAAGGTTTCTCTTCCCATAAATTGATTGGAATGGGTGCAATAAATGGTGTTATGAGTCTGTTTGCTCATCAGGGCCAACATATGGAAGTGGCAGTGTACTCTGTGAGACAGATTGAGGGTAACCTAGACCTATCAAGGATGTGGAGGCAGATTTAGTTAGCTAAGTGGATGGCTAAAATTTACTACTGATTATTGTGATGTCATCTCCTGTGTCTAACAAACCCACAAAAGATATTCTTTTCAATTTAACAATATATATAACTATATTAGCAGATATATTTTGGGAAAATATTTTTTTGTTCAAGAGCTTGTCTAAATCAGGTTTACATGAAAGGTAGAGAGCATGAGACAGTTGGATAGTGAGAAAAAGGAAGATCTGAGCAATTAGATCACTGGATTTGACTACCCAAATGTCAATAGTGTGCACAGCAACTGATATTTCTTGATTACAATCACCATCTCTTAGTGTTGGAATAAAACCTTTAGGAATTAAAGTTTATTTTCCTATAACAAGCACCACAAATCCTTCTGGTGGAGGCCTATAGATTCCTGTGGGGATTAAGGTTATTTTTTCACTCCCTAATAAATGAATGTGAGAAGCTGCTGGTAAACCTAATCCTGCACTCTAGTTGGCTTTTTGTACAAGGGATGTAATGTTTTGCTGTATACCCATCCTGGGTATACAGGGACAGTTGTCTCTTTGGTTTGGACTGGATACTGTTGGTTTAACTGTGTCAGGGATATTATGACTCTGTTTTATTCTTTCCTCTGTGTTTGTGCCTAGCCTTGGGGAAGGGCCAATTCCCCATTTCCCTGAAATCGGTTTGCTACATCTTCATGAAATTTAGGTGTTCAATATTTTGCCCAATGAAATCCTTTCATATAATGTGGACATGGGATACATGGTAAATCAGGGTTTGGTTTATGACTGACCTGTGTAACTGTGTGTTTTTAGAAGCTCTGGTCAATGCCTGAGAATATGAACTTGTTTGCCCCAATTAAACATGTAATTTAATCTATCAGCAACATGCTGAGATATATCCTGTGTTAAAAGTAATGATGCCAAATCTGTTTTATAGTCTTCTTTAGCATTGTCATATGCTAACTGACAAAGAATAATTTTAGCTTCATCTTCATACTCTCATGTACACTGCTTCATGTAGTCTAGCTGAAAATTGGAGTATAAATTTTTGTAGGGCCTTGTAAAATTTGAGTAAAGGATGTACCATCTTCTGGGGCAGAAATCCATGTATAACATAGTTCTTTACATTGCAAGAAAAGAAGAGGCAGGGTGCGTACTTGAGATTTCACATCAGTATATTTGCCCATGCCACATAGCATTTTTGTGTTATAAGTTGAATGGTTTTATCTTCACTATCCTGATTACTTTGTGCTTGTTCTGAAATAAGTATCCTTAACTGTAATTTGAAATGTAGAAATTGTATAGGTGAAAGACATGTGTGAGCTACCTGGGTCAGGTGGCTTGGCACCATTTGAAAAATCTTGAATTATATTGTCTCAACAACCTAAAGTGTAAGGACCCTGAATCCCATTATTGATGAAATTCTGTCTGAGTTTTGTGAGAAATAGGAAATTAAAAGCAGTGTGTGTTACATGTTTTCTTGTAGGACTATCTGAATCATTTTCCTCAGTTACTGGTAAACACATAGCCTGAGCATGGACCATGTCACAGTATCTGAGTTTTTTATGTGTGGTGAAGTGGGAGGTGTGCTGTGATGTATCTGTGATATGGGAGGCATTGGGGCTGTAGGAACCACAGTAGCAGTTTCTGAGTTGGATGTGGTCAGTGAAGCTGAGTATGTAAATACATTCAACAGATTTTGTATTTCTTTTTGAATATCTTTGTGAATATCTTGTAGCAGTGAACTCTTTTGATTTTAAGCATTTTTAAAATAGGCTTTATTTGTCTCTATCAATTCATTTGGAGGTACCGTACTGTGGTGATATGAATTATTTGCTATTGCTACTTCAAGGCTCTTTTTTTCTTTAATTGCCTTAGCCATTAGATTGTCTTCTGTAATGTAACTTTGATGATGATCTCTGTATTTTATTAAGCTAATTTATAAGGACCTGAGGGCTATATTTACTAAATTAAAGGTAGTTGTAGTTTCAGGGTGGAGTTGTTTATTTTATTTTACTTGTGACTTCATGAAGGATTTTATCTATTTTTATCCAAATTCTCATATCAAGTGTTCCTGCATTGGGGAAGGAGGGTAGAACACAGCTATTTGTTGGAGTAGTCTAAAAACTTTTTAAAGTGATACAGCAATATTTTCATCTTTTAATAACTTTATAATCGATAGACTGAAGTCTTCCTCTTCTGTCGATAATAAACGTTTTTGGCCCATAGCTAACCTTTGTGATTAGACTATAATTACTATATTTGTCTGAGCAATATAATTAGGAAAATGCTCTGTTTCCCTTAAAATTTGTTACACAAGGTCTAGTGGGTTGTCTCCTGGATGAAGGTTGGTTCTTCTGCTGTGAAAGTCTTGTATTCCATTCCATGTTGGGCACCAAATACTGTAATTCCAAATATTAAGTATGGTAATCCAAATACTGTAGTCACTCTTTTTTTTTTTTTTTGTCTTTTTGAGACACGGTCTCGCTGTGCAGTTCAGGCTGGACTTGAGCTCACTTTGTAGCCCAGTCTGGTCTCGAACTTGCAACTATCCTCCTGCCTCAGCCTCCCAAGTGCTGGGATTATAGGCATGAGCCACCATGACCAGCTCTGGTAGTCTCTTTTTTAGTCTTCTTCACAATCCAAAATGTTATATTTATAATCCCACTGAGATGTTATTGGAGCTGCAGCAAATTAATTTTAATCTATCACTTCCAGTGAAACCCACAGTGAGAGTAAAAACACCAAGACATATTCCAAGTTAAGAGTAGCCAAGGGGT